AAGGTAGGAGTGGAAAAAAACCAACACAAGATGGAAAGGAGGAGCATATCAAAGAACTAACAATTCCAAATCTGAAGGACTCACATGTTTATACTGAAATGCATATGAATCCACAACACCTAGACCAAAATCATGACATTTTAGAACATTGAGGATCAAGAGAAGAACCCAATACCTTCAAGGACATGGGGTGCAAGGATCTAATGATAGTCAGATAACCAGACAGCCATCAAATGTTTCATCATCAACAGTAGACGACAGAACACAGTTGAGCCATATCTTCAAATTCTAGAGAAAAAAAAGATTTGAACCTAGAATTCTCTACAAACCAAAATACTAATCAAGTGTTAGAGAAGAATAAAGATATTTTCAAAAATATAAATAAACATATTTGCAAAAAAAAAAGTAAAAGAAAATTAAAAAAAGAATCTGGATGACTCCTCATATTCCATGAAAACTTTTCCCCTGAAATCAAATGCTTACTGAGCATCAAGCAAATGCACAACCCTTTGTGAGAAACTTACACGGACAGATGGACACACCTGCCAGGAGCAGGAACTTAACTCTTAAGGATTGAGGCAACTTGTTTCAATGATTCCATTTTTTCCAGTCTGAATCTCATTGCAGAAATCTTGGACAATTCTCAAAGAGGGGATCTTGAAAGGAGAGGGATTTTAGGACAAAGGTTTGCTAAACACTATGCTGAGGCCATCCCCACAGGGAATATCTCCTGGTTTCTTTCCATGTCTTTCTCTATTAAAAAAATAATAATAAAATAAAGGCCCTCTGTACCCTAGCATCTTCCTTTTCTTCATCCACGGAGCAAGAAGAATCTTCTGGCTTTGGCTCCCTGTAGAACATTTTTTCTCAAACTCCCATTCATGTCCCACCTTCTAGGAGCGAAAGAGGATCAGGGTGAGTGGGGAGGATAGAGGGGGAAAGCCTGCTTATAAAAGGGCTTTTTTGGAAACTGGACCTACTCTGACCTATGTTTAAATTGGTCTCAATAAGCATATTGAAATATATGTATATCTCAATATATGTATATAAATATACTGAGTTGTTTGCTGAAATATTCATGTGTAATCACAAACACACTTGTGCAGGCATACAGACACATGCAGCCTCAAGCTGGTCTCTGCAAATACACAGGCACAATCAGTCATATACAGAAATGTGGACCCAGCACATGCATTCACACCTAAGTAAGCAGACAAGCATAACCACAAGACCCACAGACCCAGATCGTCATACACATACACAGATGGTCAAATGCAATCACAAAATAGCTCTGAGGCCAGAGAGTGACAATCATTCCTATGCTCCGCTTCAGGGAGGCTTGTAGCACTGTGCACAGCTCCTGGGAACTGTCATGCACATTCATGCTTTCGTTGACCACCTACTCTGTGTAAGCACACTACCAATGCCAAATCACACACACTCAGTCACACTCGGTCCCCTCATTGATCAGACAATCACATCCACGTGCACAGCTTCAGGGCCCACAGCCTCATACCTTCACGCACATGGCTACACTCACATAGACTCATGATGGGTCACAGCAGAGATGTGTCACCCTAGAGGGGCACATCCATATACACACTGCCCCACTTGCCAATGACACTGTTGTACAGTGATGCTAATGCACAACACAGCCTCACAGAAACAGCACACACTCTCACACTCACACAGTATGACTCATGCTCACAGTCACACACAGGAAGACAGATCTGTACACTCTCCAGCCTGGACCCTTGCCCCAAGTGCACCCTCTGGCTTCTCCACATCGCAGGAGGGAACAGTAGCAGGGGCCAGGTGTCGCCTGTCATTGGAGGGTCTGAGGAGGGAATTATTGGCCACATTTATGGGGTTTGGCGCTTTGGGAACACTTAGCTTCTCTCCAGAGGCAACATCCCTCCTGCCTTCCCCTGGCCCTCATCCCTGGGGTAGGAGGCAACTCAGCTCTGGGGCTTGTTAGCCTTCCTCTCTAGGGCCCAATTTGATGGGGGAGGTGGTGGTTGGTGCTGCCTGCAACTCGGGAGACATTCAGGAGCCCCATGCTTGGCGAAGCTGCTGCTCCCCAATCCCTATCTTGTGAAGGCTAGAGAGAAGGGTCAGGCTGACTCCTGAGCCCCAAGGAGAGTGACTGGGGTCAGAGGAGCTCAGGGTTTACGGCAGTAGCTTCTGGGCCTGAACCCTCCTGTCCCCTCAGCTATTGCCGGTGGCTTCTTGTAGGAAGTGTAGGAGTGTGAGACAGATTGTACCTCATGGCTGTGGCAATATGTATGGCTGTGTGACTGTGTGTGTGAGTGTGTAGGACTGTATGGTTAGGTGTGGAGAGAGTCATCACGTCTCTGCCACCAAATGTGTCCATGAGCTTGAGTGTGTGTCTGAGTGTGCAGCTATATCTGTGTCTGTGTGGATGGCCATAATTGTGAGAGTGTTTCCTTGTGCATGAATGTTTCCAATAGGGGATTGAGTCTGTGTTGGAGAGGGTATGTGTTGCTGTGTGTATTGTGGCATAAGGGAATTATGCCTGTGTATAGCATTCCAGGTGGGAATGGCTTTGCATGACTTGGTGTTGGAACAACCATGAAGGGCTATTTTGAACATATGAACTTTCAATGATCCCCTAAGTCCAAATTCCCCTACCTGATATCCAACCCATGGGCTGTCCTTCCCATTCCCAGATCCCAATCTTCTAACTTCCCTCCACTTCTTTGCCAACACACCCCTCTCAGGTGAGTTAAATTGGTCTCCTAAGAGTCTCTTGCACACACTGAGCTCATTTCACCTCCAGGCCTTTGTGTCTGCTTATCCTTCCCCCATGGAATTCCCCTTCCCTTAATTCCTACCTATGTAGCAGGGCCCAACTCATTTTGTGCAATAAGTGCCCTAAATCAGAACCCGAGTCCTCCTCACTCCAAACCTGCTCTTGTCCTGACTCCCTGTTTTAGGAAATGGTGTTGAAGGAGGTTTAAAAGGGAAATACTTTATCAAAATTCAGGAGCTTTACTGGGCATCTCACTTTAGGAGCTAAGATCTGACAGTTTCTCTTCCTTTATCCTCCAGATTGGGCTCTGTTACTATCTTCCAATTCCTCCTCTTCCCTCTTGTTTGTTTTCTTATCTATCAGATAGGCCCTGCATAATAGCCTGCAACTTTACATTTCCCTAGTTAATGTGTAGAATTTACGTAATTATCTTATCTGGCTGGTCCACGGAGGCTAAACATGTGGGAGGACCCATGGACATCCTGTAGGGACAAGATGATGGAAGGGGCCATATGCCTCTGGACACTTTCCTCTGATTGTAGTGGGGGCTTCACGTCATGAGAGCCCAAGAACTCACAAAAAAGAAGAAAAGACCACAGAGGAGGTCTTTGAGTATAAACATCATTGAATTGGGGGCAAACCTCACATTCTCAGTCCCGTGGTTGCCAACTCTTCTGATAGTGCCTCTAATCATTGTCATGACACTTGAGTTGCTATGGCACATGGCAACTCCTACCCTTAAATTTAAGAAACATCAACCTTTATCCAAAACTCTAAATAAGTCTTAAATTAAGATGCAAAACGTCGGTTTGATACTTAAAATACTCTTCTTATGCCTAACTCTCCTCTAGTTCTGAACCTAGTCTAACTGTAATAATAACTAGACTATGACTTAAACTTACAAACATTATCCACACACCAACTTAACTTAAATCTAACACAGCTCTAATAAGAACTAAACTCTAATTCAAGTTTAATCTAGCAATAAAAACGTTACTGGAACTCCAATCTGGATTAGTCCTGCACTCTAACATTAACCATAAAATATTTCTAATAAGAGTTAGGGTATCCAAACTCTGACTCCTAAATTTATCCCAAATCTATTACTAATTAAAATCAATTCAAATTCTAAAATTTACATGATTTTAATTCAATCTTAAATTTGCCCAATTGCTTTTAAATTCTAAACCTAATCCTGGCTCTACTCTAATGCTAACCATAGTCTTAGCCACATCCTTAACCCTAATGCTAACCCTATTCTAACAGTAACCATAATTCTGATCCTTTCCTAACCTCTTTCAAATACCTGAACTAAAATAACCTTGGACAAATCCTAACCTAACTGTTGGGATTTTAGGACTGAACTCATGTATCTGGTGCTGTTCAGCTATTTCTCTGAGAGATGGAATATGTAGGGAGGGATATTTGCCCCACCAGATTCAGTCCCATTCTTTGGCATGAGTGGGTTCTGAAGATACTCTCTTGGGGTCAAGGAAAGCAGGAGCAGACTCACTGGTCATGAAACCTTAAAAGGGCAAGAATCTAGAAACACTTGCAACCAACACAGCTCTTACCTGGTGTATCTGGGAATCTTCTCTTAGAAGTACAAGTGGCAAATAAGCCTGTTACTTCAACTGGTATCATCTAGGAAATTTTATGTTTTGGACATTGAGGAACCTAAGGCAGCTCAATAGCAAATTAACTTGATCTTGGTTCTGACTCTAGGTCTAGCCCTAGATTCCCCCCGGGTTCCTGTCCTCCTTCTGTAAGCTTCCTTTTCTCCCCTTTTCAGACCCTTAAACAGTGACAAGAGACACCCAAGCCAGAGGAATGTACATCTTTACCCATAGTGACAAGGGCCAGAAAATGTCCTCCTCATCTCTTCACAGTCAGTGTTATTTATTTATTTTTTTTGTGAGGAAGATCAGCCCTGAGCTAACATCCATGCCAATCCTCCTCTGTTTGCTGAGGAAGACCGGCCCTGAGCTAACATCTATTGCCAATCCTCCTCCTTTTTATCCCTTTTTCTCCCCAAAGCCCACCAGTAGATATTTTATGTCATAGCTGCACATCCTTCTAGTTACTGTATGTGGGCCGCCGCCTCAGCATGGCTGGACAAGCGGTGTGTTGGTGCGCGCCCGGGATCCGAACCTGGGCCGCCAGTAGCGGAGCACACACACTTAACTGCTAAGCCTAAACCACAGGGCCGGCCCCTCTTCACAGTCAGTCTTAACCAGCCTCCTGGGACTTCTCACCGACGCCCCCACCCAGAACAGCAGAATCGGCTCCAGGTCCTTCTGAGGGCCTCCTTGACCTCCTTGTTACGGAGGCTGTAGATGAGCGGGTTGAAAGCTGGGATGACCAGGGTATAGAATAACGATGCCATCTTGTCGGTGTCCAGGGCGTAGCTGGAGCTGGGACGCAGGTACACGAAAATGAGTGTCCCATACAGCATGGCCACAGCCGTGAGGTGGGAGCCACAGGTGGAGGCTGCTCGCTGACGGCCCTCAGCAGAGTGCATGCGGATCACAGCCCCAGCAATGAAACCGTAAGACACGGCAATAACCAACACCGTGGCTGTCTGGATGAAGCCACAGACAGCGAAGAGGAGGAGTTCATTGAGACCGGTGTCATTGCAGGAGATGGCCAGCAGTGGAGGGATATCGCAGAAGAAGCTGTTGATCTCCCGGGAGTGGCAGAAGCTCAGGTGGAAGGTGAAAGTTGTGTGTACAAAGGCACTTACTGCCCCGCCCAGGCCTGAAGCTCCCAGCAAGGCCAGGCATAGACGCCGCGACATGGCTGTTGTATAGAGAAGAGGGTTTCCGACGGCCACGTAGCGGTCATAGGCCATGGCTGCCAACAGGCAACACTCAGCATCAGCCAACCCTGCAAACACAAACATCTGGAGGGCACAGGCTGTGTAAGGGATGGTGGCATGGGGCAGCAGCAAGTCCACTAGCATCTTGGGGCCAATGGCAGAGGAATAGCAGGCATCCAGCAGGGAGAGATTGGCCAGGAAGAAGTACATAGGTGTGTGGAGCCGGGCATCCACGCGGATGAGCAGCACCATGCCCACATTTCCCAGCAGGCTCACCAGGTAGACAGGCAGGAAGACCAGGAAGAGGGTCACGCGCAGGTCCCAGCGATCTGTGATGCCCAGAAGGATGAATTCAGCAGGGACCACCCTGGCCCAGGTGAAGTTCTCTGGAGTCATCCTGCTGGACAGAGACTGAGGAGAGGGAATGCAAGAGGGAGATGGGAGAAAAGTCATGGCCATCATGGAGGAGAAAGCACTTTGTACTGGGAGTCAGATAGACTTGAGTTTCAGTCCTAACTGTGTAACAAAATTGCTATGTGACCTTGGACAAGCCATATAACTTCTCAAAACCTTCCTTTCTAACTCTGAGAAGTCACTACAATTTAACCTTCATGAGGTCAGTAGTCCCGTCTGTGTAATTCACTTTTGTATCCATAGTACTGAGAACATTGCCTGGCACATAGTCAGTGCTCAATAAATATTTGTTAAATGAATGATGAATGGGATGATAGTTAGTGTCTGGCAAAGGACTGAAAACTCCACGACTCTATATGCATTACTTTCTCCAGTTTCCCAAGGAGGAAAAGAGACAATGGAATGGGCAGAGTCTCCTGATCCAAAGGGTAACGCTTATGGGTTTTGAAGTTTGTTGTGAAGACATCTTTCCACTGGAGTAAGGCCTGGGAAGGAGGGTGCAGCAGTGGCTGGTATCTTGGGGAGATAGCAAGGAGTGGAAAGAACAGAAGATTTGAACGTATTCCAGGGCCAGACTCTTCACGTCTCTGAGCCTCAATTTTCTTATCTGTGTAATGAGGAAAAAAACCTACAAGGCTTCAATGATTGATAATGCATGTAAAGCATCTCACGCAGGGCCTGGTGCACAGCAGGCATTTCACAAAGGTCCAGTCAACTGCGTTGAGTTGAGCCTAATGCCTCCACACTGGAAGGAAGCAACTTGAAAGCAATCAAAAGCAGTGTAATTTCCAGGAAATGTAATGTTGCTTCACACTGCTGCGCCTTTCTACTTGTTCCCTCTGCCTAGAACCTATTTCCTCTTTTTGTGTTTGACAAAAACTCTCTCTTACGTAAAGCCATCCCTGATGTACTTAAAGGAAACTAAACTTCTCCCTTGTTTGTGCCCTGCTGCACTGGAGCTTACCTCTATCACAGCACTTAATCCTTCTTTTGTAAATATTTTTTCACGTCTGTCTTTCCTGTGGACTTTTAGCCCCTTGACTCATTCAACAAACATTTGAATATTTCAAATATTCACTCAACAAACATTTATTGGGTAGTACTGTGGGCTACAAATGGCCCTGCAATTCATTTTTATATATCCAAGATCTGCTATAATCAGTGCTCAATAAATGCTAGTTGAATGTACAGAACAGTGGAAAGGGTATGAACATTAGCAGCATGCAGACATGATTTTGAGCCGGGGTTCCACCACTTTCTGGTGTGTAACTTCAGGCAAGTCACTTCAGCTCTCTCAGCCCGTTTTCTCTGTTGGAGGGCTCTAAGAGGCAGTAGGACTGCAGCACAGGGCCTGAAGCTGAGTAAATGCTCTTTCCCCTTCCTTTAGGAGAAGTTTAGATGTTTGAGACTTACCTGTGCCTGGTGTGGATGATGAAGGTCTTCCTACAAAGCACAGCTTGGATGGAAAAATAGGACGATATCACATGTTGGTGGGGTTGTGCTGGTGGAAATGTAAATCAAGACATTTGGGGGACAATTTGGCAGTTCACTACCCACAACTGTGCATACCATAGTATCTTAGTCTGCTTGGGTTGCTATAACAAAGTACCATAGACTGGGTGGATTAAACAATAGACGTTTATTTTTCGCAGTTCTGGAGGCTGGGAAGTCCAAGATCAGGGTGCCAGCACAGTTGGGTTCTGGTGAGGACTCTTCTTCTGACTTGCTGGTGCCTGCCTTCTTGCTGTATCCTCGCATGGTGGAGAGAGATAGAGAGCAAGCCGTCTGGTCTCTTCTTATAAGGGCACTAATCCCATCATGAGGACCCCACTCTCATGACTTTATCTACCTCCCAAAGGCCCTACCTCCAAATACCATCACATTGGGGGTTAGCGTTTCAACATACGAATTTTGGGGGGGACACAAATTCAGTCGATAACACCTAGTAATTCCACTTCTTGGTGTTGACTTCTGAAAAATGTACATGAGGAGGCATGCACAGGGGTACATGCACTCCTGGACTGTTTGTAATGGCCTAACATTAGCCAAACCTAAATGTTTATCAATAGGCTTATGGGAGTTAAACAGAAATGGATTCAACTTATATATATCAATGTGGAGAAATCTCAAAAATATATTGAGCTAAAAACCTAATTTGCAGAAAAATACCAATTGATGAAACGCACAAAACAAGAAGATATGTTTTTATGTATATGTATATAAAATGTACTGCTGGTTGCTCCAACCAGACATGGAGTCCCAGCTAAAGGGCCCCAGGGTATCTCAGAGGGTTCATCACCTTTGCCCCATCCCCACATCCAGAGCTGATTCTTCTTATCTTTTAAGACTCAGTTCAGGGGTCATTTTTTCCACAAAGCTTTATCTGAACCCCCAACTGTCCAACCTCTCATGCTGGAACCCCACTTACTGGGCACTGTATTATAGCCCTACCCCATTGTTTTATAACGACCTGTCTAAGTGTTTGTCTCCCTCACCTAATTGAGCATTTAGGACTATGCCTAATTCTTCCCTCTATCCTTAGCGAGACAGAATTTTAGGGATCTTCCCCTCTTCCTTGGTGGAGTCACTGGTGGAGGTCAGCCAGCCTCTAGTGGTAGAGAAAACTGTGGGGTTCCAGCTCCACCCATCTACATGTTCTCCATGAATGAAGTCAGCTGGCTAGCTGAAGCTCTGTGTCCAGAACCCAGTTGGCGGCAAATCCTTTGTGTGTTTCTGTCTGTCCACATGGAAAGCAAATGCTACTCACCTTCACAAAGTGAGGAGCAGAGCTGCTTAGAGCGCCTCTCCATTTCTCCATCTGTAAAATGGGGACAATGAGACTTCAGGGCTTTTAAGTTGCTTTGAAATTTTTGGGCACAAAGATCACCAAACTTTAGTTAAGTAGCTATTATGGAGTGTGTGTGTGCGTGTGTGTGTGCACATGCACAAAACATAGAGTTAATTCTCCATTAATTTCTCTCTGTTGCCTTACTGCTCGTGAGGGGTAAACCTGACATTCTGGGACATTTATTTCTTTCCTTGAAGGTAAGAAAACTGAGTTCCAAAGAAGGGAGGAGACTTGTCCCAAGAGACACAGCTATGAAGGGTTAGAGTTGGGGCTTGAACTCAGATCTGGCTCCAAATCCAATTCTCTTTGTCTCTAGGCAGAGACCCTAATTAGATCTCTTAAAAGATTACCAAGCTTGTTGTTGCCACTATCTTGCCTTAGTCTTCTCATCTTTAAATTGAGCAGATTGGACCAAATAAATGATTCCCAATCTACTCTGTGGATTTCTGTCATTAGAATTACTGGTGGAGCTTTGTGAAAAAATATATGGCTGTGCACAGTGTCCAGAAGTTCTGATTCAATGATATAGGTCAGAGCTCAGAAATATGTACTTGAAAAAAACATTCCAAGTGACTCTGACATGCAGCTTGATTTGAGACTGTTGAGCAGCAGAGCTTCTCAACCTTTAATGTGCATAGGAATCACCTAGAGATCTTGTAAATGCAGATTCTGCCTCAGAAGGACGCGAGAGGGGCCTGAGATTCTGCATTTCTAGCAAACTATCAGGTGATGCTGATGCTGCTGGTTGGGTACCATGCTTTGAGTAGCAAGACCCTAGGTCATATTGGATAGCATTTCCAGCTCTGACATCTTAAGATTCTAGCTCTCTGGAGGGGTCTCTTAGCCTGTTCTTGCCAGCCCCTTTCTCTCTGCTGAACTCTTTGTTTTGACTCATCCTCTCTCTCCAGGCCCCACGATACTTATGAACACATTTAAGTCAGGCAAGGCTGGCCCTCTGGCAGTTCTCAATGTGTGGCTTGCCCATTTCCTAACAAGCCTGAGTTCTTAGCTCATTCCTCCTTAGCACACAGACATATGATATGTCGTGGTCCAGACACTAGCTACTATCACTGTGATGGTGTGTGGTTATTGGGTTGTTAGGACATACCTAGAAGGTGGAGCTGAGTGGGGAGTTCTTCCAGCACAGCAGCTTTAGTCCTGCCTTTGGGGTGAGAATGGCAGGGGGAGGTAGCAGGGACATTCCTGCCCCAGACATAGAAACAGGGGGACATATACTCTTCTTGGGCCCTGAGGGAATGGCCTCTTTCTATTTCCCTCCTGACTCCCCCTTCCCTCTCTACTCACCTGGACTCAATGGAAACTCCGTCTTCACAACCTCTGGGGACTCCACGATAGCTGGTGGCAGGAGAATGCCAGGGATGATTCATTCTTTGGTGCCCGGGGAGGTTGGAAAAGTTTGGCTGAGTGGGTCCCCAGGCTCTGTGTGGGGAAGACAATCATGCTACTTGAGGAGAGGGGTCCCTTTAGTTCGCTTTCCCCATCCATTCTTTTTTTTTTTTTTTTTTTTAAAGATTTTTTTTTTTTTATTTTTCCCCCAAAGCCCCAGTACATAGTTGTCTGTCATAGCTGCACATCCTTCTAGTTGCTGTATGTGGGACGCGGCCTCAGCATGGCTGGAGGAGTGGTGCCTCAGTGCGCACCCGGGATCCGAACCCGGGCCGCCGGCAGCGAAGCGCACGCACTTAACCGCTAAGCCACGGGGCCGGCCCTCCCCATCCATTCTTTGGGACTCAAAATTTTTATTATGCTTTATGATCTTCTACACAAACACAATGTTTTTTGTGGTTCTCCCAACACTTCACATTGTTCCTCTTGCCTAAATCTCCAGCCTCTTCCTTGTCTACCTGGAAAACTCTTCCTTTTTGTTGCAGAACCAACTCAATATCACGTTCTGCAGGAAGCCTTCTTGCCTCTGCGGCAGAGCTGCTCTTTCCCTCTGTGTGTCTTGTGGATGCACACATAAGAGCATGAATCCAAGACAGACAAGGAAATGTATAATTGTGTCTGATGCTGCAGCAGACGGGAGCAACCTGAGGCCAGGGCCAGGCGTGGAGTCGGCACTCGGGAAATTAAATCAGGCTCTTGGGGTGGGCCCAGGCATAGGTTATTATTATTTTTTTAATTTCTCCTTATTAGTTGGTAAGTGTTCTTTATAATTTTTATTATTTT